GAATAACATAATTTTTCAGAATTTTTCAACATTTTCAAAATCTCTGACGAACGTCCTTAATTCTCAATTGATTTAAGACGTGTTTCAATGAGAACACTGATAAGTAAGACTCGAGTCTGTACGAATAGTTCTTCTACAGTATGACTGGTTTTTACATTTTACATTCTTTTTACATAGACCTAAGCAAAAAGTTACCATTGAACTCTGCTGCACGTGACACTATGAAATTCTCCCAATAAATTAATCGGATTAATGATACTCTGTGAACGCATCGGATTCGTGAATTTGAAATGTCGCGCATACGCACGTTCTTCGAATTAAACGAACCGATTTACACGAAATGATTAAATAATCATTTCTATTATGCAGAAAATTATTCTGTCCTTAATGGTATTAACGATAATGGACGACAGGACAAAATTTCAAATATGGTTTCAATTTTCCGAAAATATTTTACTCAGCCATTTAATGCTGGATTAATTATGTTTGTGGTTACTATTTTTCTGCGTGTCACAGATGAATAAATCGTGTGAGCCACGTGGAATTCATTAGGGTTTCCCCCAATACGCGTGTCTTGGGAATCCGTCGGTTATCAAGATGGAATACACGACGCGTATTTATCAAAATAATCTGAAATCTCCCCCGATTTAAAGAATAGCTAATGAACCAATTAATCAACCCGATCATTTTCAACCGACGTTCAGTAACGATTATCGTTCGGATAATGAATTCGTTTCAGGAGCTCATCGAGGCTGACTCAGAATAAAGACATGCACGTAATTGAACGAGTTACAAGGTAAAACGTCGTATGATTCAGGATTAACCCTTTGACTACGGCAGACTTTGGCACGCACTGGCCGTACAGTACGGTACGAATTCATTCGAGACGTCCACTGGGTACGGCGAAATTTTTCGTTAGACATGCATTTCTCAGGAAGTATATTAAAATATTCAAAATACTGAAATTTATTACATTAAACGAATATTACTTGAAGTGAACATTAATTTTAAGCTTTTTTTAAATAACTTTCTACATTACTCTACATTACCATAAGACCAATTATAAAATTTTAAAATAGGCGGAACAAGCGAAATTTGATTTGGACGCCAATTGGCGCCTACAGTACCGGGAAGCCAATATGTTTCGGACGCCAATTGGCGCCTACAGTACCGGAAAGCCAATGTGTTTCGGACGCCAATAGGCGCCAACAGTAGTCAAAGGGTTAAANGCTGGGGTGTTCCTGTTCCATTCCCAGGTGCAGTGCGTAATAGTCCGGGCGCTCGTAACACAAAAAATGGAACAATTTTTTACAGTCTGCCATTGATAGGGGAAATATTTACAGCCACAAGCTGTAGATAGATGTACTTAAAAATCTTCGTTACGTGTTAATGCATACTTAAACATTAACTTTAGTTAGCAAAAAGAACGTAGTTTCTTGAAACAACTTTCAAACAGTCTGCCTTGTGAAATTTCGTCAACTTTACGCTAACATTAGCCTAAATTGAGCTTGGCAGATTGTAAAAAATTGTTCTTAGACGATTGTTCTTATACGATTTAATTGCTAACTAACATAAGTACGCTTTATTCTTGTACTGGAGAAAACCATCTGCCAATAAGCTTTTCATGGATTGCGCAATCTTGCCTTGTGCTCAAATAAATGGCAGACTGTTTGAAAGTTGTTTCAAGAAACTACGTTCTTTTTGCTAACTAAAGTTAATGTTTAAGTATGCATTAACACGTAACGAAGATTTTTAAGTACATCTATCTACAGCTTGTGACTGTAAATATTTCCCCTATCAATGGCAGACTGTAAAAAATTGTTCCATTTTTTGTGTTACGAGCGCCCGGTCTAAATTGGCGCCTACAGTACCGGGAAGCCAATGTGTTTCGGACGCCAATAGGCGCCAACAGTAGTCAAAGGGTTAAATGCATGCAAGAGATTTGGTCGTTTAATCGAGAGTGACTCACCGCTCAGGTAGAAATGGCTGGTGCTGTTGTACAGGTTGGTCACGATGGGTTTGATGTTGTCGAAGGTCATCGTTTTCATCAGATTCTCCTTGAGATCCAAGAAGTTGACGCCGGGCGCGCCGGAGAGGAAGTCCGGCTCGAGAGTGACCAGCTTGTTTTTGCTGAGTCTCAGCTTCCTGAGGTTCTTCATCCCGTCCAGCGCCTTGTCGGAGATATACACGATCTCGTTCTTGTCTAACTCGAGCTCTCGGAGCGACGGCATCTCGATGAACGTTCGATCGCCGATCATCGCTATCAAATTGTTGCGCAGGTCGAGGGTGACGAGTTTCCTAAGACCGTGGAAACTGTCCGCGGTGATCACCTTGATCTGGTTATTGAACAGCTCGAGCTCCTCCAACGAGGTGAGATGCTTGAACGCCTTGTCGTGAAGCGTGCTGATGTTGTTCACGCTTAGATGGAGCGACTTCAACGAAGGTAGATTGACGAACGTGTCCCTGGAAAATTGAATGAACCAGGAGTTAAACGACGGGGAATGCATTTCCGCGGGCGAACTAGACGAAGGACCATGAAAACCTACGAGCAGCTCTTTATGACTGCGTCGAAAGATGCATCCGTGAATCGAATTTAGACTCGCGTTCAAACGACGTTATCGTGCTGTTTCTAGTCTGGCAGAACCGTGGTTCCGGTGATGGATGACAACGAGATTCCTTAAGGATGTATTGGCTATACAG